CCATTCTCCTACTACCAGGGGTACATTCCTGGAGTGTAGTTGCTGGGTAATTGTTGGAAAGGTTGTTTTATCAAACGCTCCCTCAATATCTATGAATATACCCAGGGTGGATTCTTTGTTGTCCAATGATCTCTCGATTCTGCCAACCACATGGTGAAGGGCCGAATCAGTAGACCTTCCCGGGGTATATGCATGCTGATTTGGATGAAGTGGGTTGTTAACAAGTACTTCATCTCGAAACGAATACCTTGAAAGGTTTATAAGATGCTTCAATTGAATTCAAAATGGGTATTGAAGGAATATTGGTCAAGTCATCTTAGTCACGATTAGGTATCTCGGAATAAACTTTGACAAGTTGTCTCAAGACCTACATATGAAAAGGAGTACGCGACTATTAAAATCTAAGATTAAAGGTCAAAAAAATAAATTTTTTGCACATTTTTTCGCAAATATCTTGTTTCTTATGGGGTTTTCGCTTTTTGTAATCATCATCAATATTGTAAAGGATTAAATTACGGACGGTTACAGCATCATTTTAGGTCCATATAAAGTTTATTAAATATTGGTATTCACAAAACTATTAATAATTTCTATTTCTGCGCTTTGAAAAAAATGAAAGATTATTTGTGAATGGGATTCAAATCTTGTTCGCAGTCTATATTGCTCCAAAATCTGTAGAGAGTATTGATCATCTTCGTTCTGTAACTGCAAGAGGGATTGTGGTTCGCGATGTGGATGCAGGAAATCGAGGTTGCACTGCTCTTTAGCTCGTGGCCAGTGTATTGGGCAAGCTTGCCTCATGTCAGAGTGATGTCATTGGCGACAGATCCTTTGACACCAAAATCATGGAAAACCTGGAGACAAATGTTGTTGAAGACGATAAAGAAAACGACTTTTACATACTACAGTGGTAGGAAGACGTCGATGAAGAAGAAGATAATTAAAATTATCAAATGTAGTTTTTGTCATTTTCATTAAACTTTTTTTAATTTCCACAATCATAAATGTATGAAAAACATTAATTACGAATTTCTTTCTTTATTTTTCCATTTATTTAGGAAGTTATCAATAAGTTACATTGAAATAAATAAAACATTGAATTGAAATAAAATTCAAGTATTTTCCTTGACAATTCTATAACTACACGGGCAGGTAAGTATCGTTGAATAAATTGATACTTAATATAATGTAATATAGTTGATATGAAATGGATATTGATGATAATTATGTATTCATCAATAATTAATAAATTTTACATAGTTTTGTCAGTAGAGTACTTTGGTTTTCAGTTAGATAACTGCTTGACTTCTGAAACTCATTTTGAATATATGCGAAAAATTTCATAGAAGTTATTCATTTTTCCAGAATTGCACAAACGCTCTCAACTGAAGCCAAAATAACGATATATAACAGAATAATTCAGACACACTTTGATTACTGCTCATCACTATTATTTTCTCTTGACCTTAATAAAATAAATCAACTCCAAAAGTTGCAAAACCGTGGGATGAGAATCACTTTTAAAACAAATAGACAACTATTGTTAATATGCTTAATACGTTCAAATGGTTTTCTGTCTCACAAATAATCTATTAGGTGTCTTTGTTTACAAGACACTGAATAATTTGGCAACAACTTATTTCCAAAATTACTTGATTCTACATAAAGATGTACATACCCACCTAACCAGAAACCAGGATAATTTTTACATCCCTAGAACAAATCGTGAAAGCACAATGAAATCTTTGTTTTTCACTGAAAATTAGTTCTTCCCTTCACTGCTTCAAAAGTGTTTCATAATTAATCAGGAAATTTTTATTGTTATGTCGTTCTTCGGGATATTTTTCTTAGTTTGCTGTAAAGATATGTAATCTTGGGTGAACATATTTGATGCAATTATATTCAATTTTTAATTTTAACTTACCAAATTACTACTCGATTCATGTAGCAATATTTATAAGTGGTTCACGTGTGCGCGCATGTAAATCTGTTTGTTTTGTGAATATACTCACTATTAATTACTTTGGAAATGTCAGTAATGTGTATTGTCTTTTTTCAAAACATTTTTTCAAAAATACAGGGCTATTCAAATTCGTTTCTGTACATGGAGATCTTGTAAACGATAAGAGATAGAGTGTCGGTTAAATTGTGGGAAAGTTGTATATTTTAGATACCTATTCAGTGTTGTAAAGAAATCAAATAAAGCTCTTTTGGTTCTGGAGATATACAGAAAAAACCAAATTATTTTTTTGCCTATTTTTTCCCTATATCTTCTTTATTTGCAAACATATTCAAAATCTGTCCACATTTTGCTGTTGGCACTTGATTGGCACTCTCAGAATATATTCATGAATCTTTTATAATAGCAATTTTCACGTCTCCCTATGTATCATAGAGTTTTTCGAGAGTTTTTTTTTCATTTTTAGGTACCTATTCATATTTTTTCATTGCTCTGAGCGTTTTCTACAATGAACTTCGAATAAGAAAGCCTTTTATGATTATTAATTACACATTTCAAAGTACTGGGTTGTAGTTGTTTTTCTTCATAATACATACATGTTTGAGTGAAATACAACAAATTAGGTATCATTGGAAAGATAATTTTGTGCCCTTTCAAATGATATATCACTCGACCCCACTTATCATCTAAAATTTTAGGGTTGTTAGTCACCCTCGCTAGGGGATTGAAGGCACCCTTAAAAGCAAAATTGACCTGTCCGAGCATTTTTGCATTAAGTTACAAAAAAAGGAGAAAAGCAAGGTGCATACTTTTCGTTGGACCACTGTATAAGTGGTTCACGTGTGCACGCATGTAAATCTGTTTGGTTTTGTTAATATTCTCACTATTAATTACTTTGGAAATGTCAGTAATGTGTATTGTCTTTTTTCAAAAATTGTATTATATATGTATTCTATTTATGCTCTAATTGTTTTCCAGTGAATTTGTACATTAAGGTTCCTATTTAAATAGAGATCTATTATCTATGTATAAAACAATTTTTTAAACAGAAATTGTAGGGAACTTGATCTTCTACAATTTTGATGATGAATACAAATAGTAAAAAACCATGGGAAACGATATATTTGCAAAAAATGTGCAAGAAATCAATTTTTGTGATCTTTGACTTCAGATTTCAATAGTCGCGTACACCCTACGATATGTAGATTTTGAGACAACTTTAAGGATGTCAAATTACAAGTTTATACGAGCTGATGGGTATCCCAAATTCCGAAGTGAAGTTGGTAAGATGACTGGACTATATTAGGTTCATGTACCTATTCTTGGTAATCCGAAATTAGTTCGAGTCTGTTTTTCTCTTCAGCTGATTTTGTTAGATCATCCTTCGATTTACTATAATCTTTTTTGTTGTGGTATATTTTTAATATGTTCTAATCGAAATTCTGGGACAATATATTTTCGTTATCAATAGCAGACATTTTTACTGTGGACTTTGACCTAATAACTCAACTTTTTTCTGTTCCTCGGGACAAGGGTGCAGAGTTGACAAAAAATAGCTGCAAACATCCCAAATCTCTACCACTATCTGAGTTATATTCGGAATGTGCACACAAAATCTATCTTGTAACGGATTATCAAACAGATTGGGTTACATTTCTCAGAAAATCAACGCCCTATTACCCGCTGTAATATATCCAATGGCGTCAGAGTTGGTGAGATCCGCTAAGGGAGGTAGGTCTCAAAGTAGAGGGTGGGCTTGCGTCGCTGGCTAGATTTATTGGCTGGAACTCACACATTTCTCTACCTACTCTGTCTTACTAAACTTCTCACGATAATGAGGCCAATAAAGCGATTTGAGGCGAACATGAATTTACGATGAAATATAAAAAAAACTTTGTTGTGTCACGTGAAACAAAGAATGTGGAGGAATCTATTTTACAAGTTGGAGGCACCTCGCTACGTTTCAAAAGATTAATTCTCAATAAAAAAACTCAATAAAGTTGTCTACTATCTTTATACCTACCTGCTTTTTAACATTCACTGTTACAATCAAATTTTTCTTTATACTTTTTTTTTTCCAAAAGGTTCGTATAAGCGAAATTAACTAGAGTCGTGCTTTTAAAATTCAAGGATCTATAAAAACATGTTATAACTACCCAATTGAGACATGATTTCATTCGACTTTCCGACTTCACCTGAAACATGAAGCAGGTTTTTTCGAAGTTTTGTACGTTTTCATTAGTCTAATTTTAACTTTCATCTTTCAGTGAGTACTTTAATTGAATTTAATCGAAATAAGCGCCATTTGAATCAGTGCAGTTTTGTCAACGTAACACAAATCGATCAAATTCATCAGCATAAAAATTGCATGCTAGGGATACGATGAAGTTGACGGAGCCCGTTTTTCCCTGGTCCTGATTAGAAGAGGCTCTACCGGTGAGATAATTATCGAAGTGCTTCAAACGATGGCATTTGGTTGGCGAAAAGTCCGGATTGTATGTTAGGTGAGGCAGAACTTCGTAAATTAATTAGTTTTAGATGCTGATTTGTGAAACGTGCGGACGGGCGTTGTCGTGGAGCAGGATCGACAGTCTCCTGTTGACCAGCAGTGGCTGCTGATGACGCAATTTTTGCTACATTTTTTCGAACTGCCCGGTTGCAGACATGTATAGTGAATCAGTCGCTGACCACCATACAGTAACGATGGTCTTTTTTGGTAGGTTTTTGCCTTCATAAAGTGCCTGGGTAGTTCATCGATGTCCAACCATTGTCCTGAACGTTTCCTGTTGCTGTAGAGGATCCACTTGTCATCACACGTGACGATCTTATTCAAGAAAGGATCGTTTTGGTTGCGCAAAAGCAAGAAGAACAGACCTCGAAACGTGACAATTAATGCCGATTGTTCAAATCGTGGAGCACCCACTTTTCAAGCATTTCGACCTGATGAATACGTTTAAAACTATCTAAAATCACATGAAAGCTGATGTCCAGTTCTCAGTCTCCACCAGGGTCCTCAAATCCGTGTTCTGGATTACTGCAGATCGATCAAGACTCAACTTCGAGGCTGACATGTTCGAAACGAAATATCTTTTGCTGGAAAAATCCTCACTTAATTTTATGTACCCCCTTCAAGGGGCTGTATCTTTACAACGGATTCTCCAATGAAGTTTCTTTATATGAAAGATCCTATCTTTTTTTCGATGAGGAATCACCGCCTTGAATGTTTTACACTCATTCAGTTACACCCTGTTTCGCTTCAAACTATTGTTTCAATAGTTTGAAGGGAAACAAAAATCCTCGTAATTTTTGAGTTAGATATAATACGTGTGAATCCCATTTCATGTGTCGATCGATCACTAAGCCAAGGTATTTGATTGAGGTACTTCCTGTAATCGATAAGTTTTGATTGATAATTAATGATCGGTAGTTTATTGCCATAAGAGGTAAATGGTAGATGTTTTGTTTTTTCTACGTTCAAGGTCAATTTGTTGTATTGAAAGCATTTCATCATCTGAAGATCTTCATCTGTCAATGTCCTCTCTTTCGTAAAACAAATTGCATGGTGTCTCCAGAGGCTCCAATAAATTCAAGACATCGCCAGAATACTTAGTAAGGTATTTCCATGTCTCCGAAAAGATAGCTGTGTCGTCAGCAAAACTGAGAATGTTTCTTTCGGAATGAATTTTCAATAAACTATTTATATAGGTAATGAATAGTATTGGACCCAAAACCATACCTTGCGGAACTCCGCAAGTATTGTTCTCGAACTACTGTTTTTCCACGGATGTCAACGATTTATCTTCGATTATTCAAATAGGAATTAAACAGTTCATATGCGATGTTTTCTAATTTCTCGAGGAGACTTTTATGGCAAACAGTATTAAACGCTTTCGATAGCTCAACAAAGATGCATAATGCAAGTGTTCGATGAATCCAACGATTTGTAAATTTCTGATGTTAAAGTGACCTCCCCTCTCTGAACCCTTACTGCAGTACTGACAGGAGGTTGAATTTGTCGGTAGTCGTCTATCTTTCTTTTTTATAATTTTTCAATAACTGGAATAACCAAGTCCTTTTCAATTTCACTGGAAAAGTATGCTGCATCAAGATCTGTGAAGTTGATGACTTATTTGTTTTATGGAAATTCATGATCACTTCAATGAAATAAATGAAAAACTTTTGTTTAATATCCACTAGTTCAGTTAGTTAGTTTTATACTTGATAGAGGGATAAAACCGAAAACCGGTCGTAAAAATAAAATACCTAGTGGAAATTAGACAAAAGTGTTTGGACTTGCATCAAGAGGTTAATTTTTCAAATATGCAAGACATGACAACTTGAATTTGTTTGATAACTATTTTTGATATTTCATCTCATCCCGGAGATAGGGATCCCATTTGATTTTTGTTCTTCATTAACATTGAAGCGGAAAAATTCAGTGTTCGCAATCAGCTTATTTTCAAAGGAATATTTGATATTGGCGGTCAAACTGGATGTATATGATGGTGAATTTTGACCTATTTTGTTGTTTCTGGAAAACAATCCAAAGGCCCTGATTTCTCAGTCCGGTTCTGCGAAACTGGTACTGACCTAATAATTACAAAAAAATGAGACTTGATTGATCAAAAATCCTTCACTACTCTTCTTGTTTGTGTTTTTACATAAGCACATTTTCCCGCAAGTAGTCAGCTTTTGATTGATGCTTCATTCTTCGAATTTATGCTACGATTATTCGCATTTCAAATTCGAACAAAAACTTAAGATAAATGGAGTCTGTTACGGAACTAGTGAAGAGAATCAATGACTAATTTAGTGATATTGTTGCTAGTACAATATGTTTTTGTGTCGACAATAAATCTCTACAGGTAAAGTGTAAATCAGATATTATGCTACCAACTGTTTTTCAATCTATAGAAACATAAGAACTTTCAAAGTAGAACCAAATAAATATTGATGTTAAGATTAGAGAATTGATTGTTCATCAGTTACCTTTGAACAGCTGAAATTCTAAAGAGAATCATGTAATTAAAACACAAG